CAGAAACAGTTTTGAAAGGGAATTTGATGGTGCGATTGCTGACTTGTTCCCTCAGGGGTGTGTGTGTGTGTGTGTGTGTGTGTGTGTGTGTGTGTGTGTGTGTGTGTTTCTGTACTGTACACAAAGCCCAATGACATGGATCCCACTTTGCTAACAGCATGGCTAAGTGCCTGCTTTCATGGTTTCTTCCTGCCCTAGCTGCTGCCTGCTGATTTGTAGCAACTTTAATGTCAGAGGGCACCAGGAAGTGCTAGGAAAGCTTTGGAGTAAAAATAAGTTGGAATGGTAGAAAACAGCTCATGCTAAATGTTTGCCACCATGACTCTCACAGTTACTTGATTTGATACACAGTTTTTGGAACAAAGCATCTTTACAAGTTGTCAACTGGGCATTTAGTTTGTCTGACCATGATTGTGTCAGCCCAATGCAGAGTGGAATCCAATTAAGTTCAACAAATGTTTATTTGTTGTCTACTATAGACAAAGCACTGTCCTTGGATTTTAGTATATAAAGATGAAAAATGTCACAGAGTCCCTGTTCTCAAGGCAGAATGTGATTGGGGCAAAGGAGAGATCAATCAGTTTGTTAGCACTTACTAAGTACTTCCTGTGTGCTAGGCACTGTGGATACAAAGCCAAAGCTGAAAATGTTCCTGTCCTCAAGTTGCTTATACGCTGCCAAGTGTTCTCAGAGTCATTTGGTGAGCTCAGGGCAGGCTTCAAGGCAGAGATGAGGAAGGAGCATGTTCTAGGCATGTGGCATGGCCCTGGAGGCAGGAGTGGACAGGCCCCAGCTGGGGAGCAGCAAGTAGCAGAGGCCTTGGGCAGCAATATCAATGATGAGAAAAGAAATAGTGGGAAACAAGATAGTTTAGAGCAAGATTGTGGAGAGCCATAAATCCCAGGAGAAGATTTTATAAGACTCTTTATTCCTACTGAATAGCTAGGCTGAATGAATGAAATTTCCCTCCACACTCACTCTTCTTCTGAACTTCCCTATTTCTTTTGAGGGTATCACCATTCTTTTAGTTGCCAAGATTTTTTAATCAGTCAATAAACATTTATGAAATGCTTACTGCATGCTAGGCCCTGAGCTAAGAGCTGGGGATTCAAATACAAAAAAGAAAGACAAAAGAGGTTTGTAACCTCAGTGTTATCTTGGACTTCTCATTCTCCCTCATCCCAGATATCCAATCAGTTGCCAAGACTTGGCATTTATGCCTCTGCAACAGGTAGTGTCCTTCACACCACCTTAGCTCCAAGCCCTCGTTACCTCTTGCCTACGCTATTGCTGTTGTTGTTTTGTCCTTCATTTTCGAAGAGGATGATGGGTGGGGGATGTGTTAACTTGCCCGTGAATTGTATTTCAGTGAGGCAGAGCTACACAAAGTCATCAGCCTCACTCTCTCTTCCTGAGTCATCAAAGTCCAGTGGCCAGACAAAAGTCAGGATGACCGGTGATGGCCCAGGATGCAGTGGATGACCTTGGTGTCTTTGATGTCTGACCAAGCTCTAAGCAAAGGCTTCCTAATTGGTCTCTTCATACTATGTCTCTCCCCATTCCAGTCTATCTTCCACTCAGCTGCCAAAATGATTTTCATTAAATGCAGGTTTGATCATATAATTCTCCTATCCAATAAACTCTAGTGACTCCTTATCACCTCTAGGATCAAATATAAAGCTTTCTGTTTGTCATTTAAAGCCCTTGACATCATGATCCTAATTACCTTTCCAGTCTGTTAGGGGCAGTCCTGACTCTCATACCCTGTTAGTTTGGGTTCAATGTTGGGATGAAATAAAGTACTCATAGGTCATTTAATAGTTAATAAAAGAAGTTATATTTAGCTCTAACATAGCAAGGATACACAACAAGGCTATGGTTACATTTGGCTTCTGTACACATGGCTTCCCCTTGTCTCCGTATGGAAATGTGTGAAGAGGGCAAGGTGTGATGAATCTTGTGGTCTTCCGACATCCATTAAGTCAGAGGTGACCTGACTCCATATGGCCCGCACAGTTTTGTGCCTCTAGGTGACTAGGAAGTCAAGGACCTCCAGGAAACTGCCTCAAGGAAGATGTGATTTGAGCCTTACCCTGCCCTGGAATAACCAACTCCTGGCTTTGTCTACTTTTCCTCACCCTTATTGGAGAATAGTAGGAGGGAACCATGGTAGAAGTGGTCCTGTGGCATAGCCTCATGTGTTTTCCCCCTTTCTGCACTCCGTGGTCTGGTCAAACTGGCCTTCTTTGTTCTTTGCACATGGCCTTCCAGCTCTGTCTCCGGTGCCTGGAATACACTTCCTTCTCACCCCATCCAGAATCCCTCACTTCAAGTCTTAGCAGAAATAGGAACTTCTACATGAACCTTTTTTGCCCACCCCTCCAACTCCTAATGCCATCTCCCATAATTGCCTCCTATTTATTTTGTATTTATTCTGTATCTATTTCTATATTTCCATGTTGTCTCCCCTGATATGATATAATAATATAAGCTCTTTGAGGGCAGGAACTGTTTCCTTTTTGTCTTAGTATCCCCAGCATCTAGCACAGTTCCTGGAACACAGTAGACACTTAGTAATTGCTTATTGATTGGCAACGTTAGCCAATCAATTAAAGAAAGTAAACCCTTGCATTCATATTGAATTATTGTTGGGTATTTTACAGTGAATCTCATTTCTCGAGTTAAGTAATTGTATAGGCTGTTTCTACATTAGCAGCTGTAGCTTAATTCACGAGGATCACACTAACAAGGCCTGCTCATTTTGGTGTGGCGTGAAGAACGCTGACTTCTGAGAGTCGGCAGCCTTGAGGTCTAGTGCTGCCTTGGTCACTGAATCACTTTATGATCATTTCTAAAGTCGCCCCTAGTTCCAACATGCTTTGATTTTAACCTGACTTCTTCAGTGGTTTCTGCTTTTAGAAAAATGAGACAAATTATAAGAAAACAGGCTGACATCAGTGATTTGAATAAAATAATAGAATATCCCACGACAGTTTTCAAGCCTCAGCACATATATCCTGACCAACCCACTATCCTTTCTGTTTCTCCTTCTACAAATCTAGAAACTGAGAATTTATGTTCACACCCATGATCCTGAGGCCTGATTCCTGAGACTGTGCTCAAGAAAACAGGAAAAAGGATAGACACGTTAGAAAGAATTTTCAACGAAAATTGAAACCAGAAACTCCTCAAACTTGGGGGTTAATCGATATTTTGCTATACTCAGAAAATTCAAATATCTGTTAAACAAGTATTTGACTTCCTGTGTGCCAAACAGTTGACTAGATGCTCCACATGAAAAGAAGCCAGTGGCGCCCATGGTCCTTAGATTTTGGAACTGCTGCTGTGGAATTCCAGTCTTGATTTTGAAGAATAAAAGCCCCCAAAGAAAAATCACATTACCAACAAAAAAGTTGGAAAGAGTTTCACGGAAACAGGAAACCAAGTTTTCTGGATGTGTAGAATTTTTATTGGCTCTTGCAATAGTGTTTTTGCACCAACAGGACAAAATTCTGATAGAGTTGTTGCATGATACACTTTGAGTTGAAAGAATTTTGATTTTCAGTGTGACATTTTCATTTTAAATCTATGTATTAATGACTGAGAAGTTGTTCAAAACATGGCAACTTCTGTTCATTCCTCTAACAGCTTATTTTCTTCCCAGATCTAGTCCCCATGAACACCAAGCTCAAAATCTCTTGGGTACAATATTATTTTGAGTAAGCATCTTTGTACCTGTAAAACAGAGGTGAAGATCCCATATGACGCATAGGAAATATTACTCTATGCCCACTAAATTAATGCATCCTTATAAACTGGAACTGTGGTAGAACATGCTAATTTACTGAAAGTCTTGCATTGGGTGTCAGCAGTAAATTGATAAGTACAGTGGAGCACTGGACTTTGTGACTGTGGGTAAGTCAGTTAATTTCTCGGTTTCATTTTCTCTTTTGTAAAATAAGGGTTATAGTACCTCCCCCCCCCCTTTTACCTCACAGGGATTTTGTGAGAATGAGAAATGTAGTAGTGGTAATGCCTTTGGAAAATTACTAACACTATGTATATTTGGGAGGGATATCGTGGACCTCTGATTTGATCACTGTGAGGTTTTCCCAGTGTGGAAACTCCTCTCACCAATACAGATAGGAAACTCCTTAATAATTTAGAGTCCGAGATGGCCATTGAGAGGGTAAGTGGCTTGTCCATGGTCATGATTTCGTGTCTTTCAGAGGCAAGTCTTGAACTCAGTTCTTCTTGACCACAAGGTTGTTCTTCCATCCACAATACCATGCTGCCAGCATACTGATATTCTTTAATTCCTTAAGGATCTATAATTGTGTTTTTCCATGAGTGCAAACTCTTTAAAACTTAATACATGGTCTTGGGTCTAAGCATATCCAACAAGTGGTCACCCAGCTCTTGTGTGAAAATCTCCAATGGGAGGGGAACCTATTACCTTCCAAGAGAGCCTGTGTCTCTTTGGGGTCCCTCTTGTTGTTTCCTGACATCAAGACTAAACATACCTGGCAAGAATTGTATGAACTGACGGACTGAAATGAACAGAACCAGATGAACAATTTCTATAATAACAATACTGTAAAAAACAGCCAATTTTAAAAACCCAATTAGAACTCTAGTCGATGCACTGACCAACCAGCTTCAGAGAATCAGCTGATGAAGAAGCCTGCTAGCCATGTCTTGGCAGAGAAGTGATGCTCTCAGGGCCCAGGATGAGCCATATGTTTTGGATATGGCTGACGTGGGAATTTGTTTTGCTTAACTATGCATATTTGTTACAAGGCCCTCATTCTTCTTTTTCTTTTTCTTTTTTTGTGGTGGAGGGGAGGGGGAAGAGAAAATGCATTTTCCGTCATTAAAAAATAAAATTTTAATTTAAAAAACTATATCAAATATAAAACTGTTGGTTGATAGAAAACAGGAAAAAGACTAAATTTGCCTCTCTGCGATTTCTACCCATTGTGGAATTTATTCCTCTCCAGGCTGTACTTCAGATTTTCTTCACCAAGCCCCAGAAACCTCTTCTTCATCTTAGAAGTTCAGTCCAGCCCTGGAATTCACGCACTGGAAGTAGCCTCTATCCCTGCGCTCCTCTGATTGGATGGCACTGCCCAGAACCTCCGTTTAAGGAAGGTGGCCCGGCCAGCGGCTGTCTTCGTTCCTCTCCAGCCTGTATTCAAGACTTTCTTTATCAAGCTGGTGCCTAGTAGGCCCACCCCCACCCCTCATCCGATTCCACCATAAGAATGTTAGCTTCTTGAGGGCAGAGACTGTATTTCTGCTTGTATCTGTATGCCTTGTGCCTGACAGGGCTGGAATAAGTGCTTAATAAATGCTTTTTGCCTAACTGATGTTGTTTCTAGTTCTGGCCTCTGGGGCGAAACAGAGTAAATAAAACCTCTTTTTCAAATGACAGCATTTCAAACACTTGAACCTAGGCCTCTCTGAGTCTTGTCTTCTCCAGGGCTAAGAATCCCCATTTCCTTTAACTCATCCAAATATGGCATGAACACAAGGTCCTTTACCATTTCAGTTGCCCTCCTGCAGACACTCTCTAGTTTATCAATGTCGTTCCTCAAACAGCTTACTCAGAATTGAACCCAGTACTCCAGAAGTGATCTGACCAGGGCCAAGTACAGCAGATTTCGCATTACCTTCCCTTTAGTAGCTATGCCCCCTTTTAATAAAGCTTGGGCAGCTAGATGGAGCAGTGGATAGAGTGCCGGGCATGGAATCAGGAAGACCTGAGTTCTAATCTGGCTTCAGACACTAGCTGTGTAACCTTGGGCAAGTCACTTCACCCTGTTTGTCTCAGTTTCCTTATCTGTAAGATGAAGCAAAGAAGGAAATGGCAAACCACTCTAGGACCTTTGCCAAGAAAACCCCAAATGGGGTCACAAAGAGTAAGACACAACTAGTCAAGGAAACAAGAACATCATTGAAGCTTGAAAACTCGTTAGCTTCTTTTGGCTGCTATGTATCACACTGTTGACTCATATTGAATTTGAAGTCCTCTAAAACAAGTCAGATTGTTTACAGACAAGATATCATCTAACCACATCTGCCCTCTCTAGCATGTTTTCCCCCCATTAGATTGTAAGCTCTTTGAGGGTGGGCACTGTTTTTGCCTTTCTTTTTATCCCTGGCATTTAGTATAATGGTTACCAAACAACAAGCAATTAATAAGTGATTGGATTTCTTATACTAGTGAAAATCCAGCTGTAAGACTTCACCTTCATTCTGATTAAATTTCATCTTAGAGTCTAGCCTATCAAAGGCTTTTTGGTTCCTGAGTGTCGTCTTGTGTATTAGTTTTATGTCACCTGCAAAGTTGATAAGCATGCCAACTCTGCCTTTATCCAAATAATTAATATAAGTGTTGAATAGTAGTACAGGGCCAAGCACAGACCCCTGGGGCATTCCACTGGATACCTCCAAGTCATCATGACACCATTAAGGCCTTTCACCCCTTCCCAAATCCATCTTTTGCTGTCTAGTTCACATCTCTTTTATCTTTCCCACAAGAATAGCCTAAGAGATTTTGTCAAATGCTGTGCTAGAGTTTAGGCAAACTACATCTTCAGGATTCCCAGTAATCCTAAGCACATGAGGTTAGTGTGGTAGGACCTGTTCTGTTTAATGAAGCCATGCTGATTGTTTCACTTTGTAGCCCATCCAGTGATAAGCTTCCCCACCTTTAGCTCGCTGGATAGATGACAATAAACATACAGCCAGCCATGGTGCATATGTCAAGGCTTCTCAGCTCCCAAACACTTGCCAGAATTTATGTTTTGCTACAATAATAGCACTCAATAGCTCATAGGCATTGGGGAAAGAAAAAAAATATTATATATGGATGTTATGGGAACGTTTATATAAACACTCACCTACATGTTATCTCCTAGAAGAGATTCCATAAAAATTCTAGGGCAGTTGCTATGGTAACCAAGTTTCCCCTGGCCCCCATCCCGCAGGATCTGAATACCCAGTTGTAAACTGTGCATATAAGTTGAAGGTGTCAGTGCCTTAGGCCAGTATAGGCACCTCCTCTCACTGTTGATTTTCAAGATATGTGCAGTTCTACACACAAGTGTGCTTTCAGCCTGCTACCCTCCCACCTTCTCCTTTCATCTTCTCCCTGTGTGGAGTTAGCTGTACACCCTTCTGCCCACAGGAGTGAGTGATAATTGAGACATGCTGGGGAGAAAGGGCTGGCGAATTTTCTCGAATGGGCTTAATTGAAAAACAAAGCTACATTTTATCCTTTGGTATAAACATATGAGCACAGTGGCGATTAGAGATTTCCCTTTTCAAATCAGTGAGTGCTTTATACTTGTGGATTTATTAGGCCAAAAAATGCAATAGGTAAATACTACTAAAGCCAGTCAAACAAATCTGTTTTCTCAAAACACTCTTTATTTTGGGATGCAAGCAGGTCCTTTATGTGCAAACAGTGATGTATGCAGGGATCTCTCATGAACATAGTAACTTGGTGGAGGAGATAGGGGATGTTCAGAAACTCACCTTTGCCGGTGGTAATACAGTGAAAAGAGCCCTGGATGGGCCAAGCATGGTGGCACACACCTGTGATCTCTGCTACTGGAGAGACTGAGGTCAGTGTCTGGAGCATGGGAGTTCTGAGCTGTAGTAGGGTTAAAACTGACCAGGTGTCCCACTAAGTCTGGCATCAATGATGAGTGCCTGCAAACAGGGGTGGGGCCATCAGGATGCCTAAAAGGGGAGTAAACCAACTCAAGGTAGAAACAGAGCAGGTCAAAGCTTCCGTGTTGAGCATCAGTGGAATCAGGCCCAGGAGCAGCTGCTGTACTTAGAACCTGAATGAAAGAGGGAGACCCAGTCTTTAAAAAAAAGAAGAAGAAGAAGAAAACGAAAGAAAAGGAAAGGAAAAAAAAAAACAAACCCTGGATGGGAATTCAGAGTTGGATGGCACTAAATGTCATATCTACTTTCTGTGCCTCAGTTACTTTATCTGCAAGCTGAGGGAGTTTGAAATAGATAACCTTTGAAGGTTGTTTTCAACTCAAAACAGTCTGATTCTCAATTAGACTCTGGAATTTAAGAAACCTCTTAAATTTGTACAAATACATTTCAGGGATTAAGCCTCTATGAAGTCTTCGTCCTCCTTTCCCTCCCTCTCTTCCTCTTTCTTCCTCTTTGTCTCCTTTTTTCTGGTAAGCTTTTCTTTGGAAGGGTTCCCCCCCCCCCCCCGGTAGTACTCAGACATTACAAAATAATTCATGAATGTGGATAAGAAGAAAAGCCTTAAAAGTTAATCTGCATCTTTGTTTCAGGACAATATCAACATGACAGTAACCATTTAGAGAAGGTTCACTTTTTTGCCAGGTGTAACAAAGAGCAGTAAATTAGTTTTGAACTTTTGTGATCTTGTATTATAAAGAGTCTACAGCAGACACTGTATTCAAATCAGTTGTCAAAGTGAAAAAGGATTAATAGCTGTTGTATTCTAACCTTTTATGAAACTGAACACCGAAGGGTGCATTTCCAGATCTCCTGCCATATTTTGTTATTGTGACTCTTAACATAAGAGTGTTGTTGTTATAGAAGAAAGTAACAGCTTGGTTTTTAGACTCGGCTATAGAATCTGTTTTTGCTTTAAAGACCACCAATTTCCCACGATCCCACTGGGAACTGAAGTTGAATATAGAGCAGTGGGCAGAAGAACAAAACTTCACACAAAATAATTTTGACAGACCACAAGATCAAGACTTCAGATTTTGTCATTTTTTCCTCATCCTTGGTGCTTTATCACTTAGATAACTGTGTCCATCTGAATTTTGAGAATCTTCACAGAGAAACCCTAGCAATTTTCATAAGATTCCACGGATGTGAGTAGGTGACTAGAATGTCACTCCTTTTTTTTTTTTTTTAAAGAGAGAAATCTAGGCACAAAGAAGATAAATGACTGCTCCAGGATGATTTCTAGCTCTGTGCATCCATGGCATATTTTAGGGATTGACGGAAGAGTAAAGCTCCATATACCTCCTGATTCTTGTGTTAAACTCTCATTCTCTGTTTCCTTCTCTTGACGATAATGACCCTGGCAAAGCAGTCCCCTAATCAGATGCCTTTTGCTGGTGCTAAGGTGGGTTATACTCTGAAGACCTGGGGGACTTCCTATGCCGAAGACAATTAGGCTGCTTTTCAGAATGGCAAAGAACATTCAGGCCTTCAGTCACTTCCAATGGCAGGTTGACTGTGATACTGTCCAAGGACTCCACCCCAACCTGGAGGCAGACCACTACACTCCCATGGGATTTCTATTCTTGGCCTTAACAAAATGGGAGTATACTTATTTGGACTTTGGTCCTTGCTTCAAGGAAAGAACACTGGTCTGGGAGTCAGGTTCTAATTTTACATCTGCTGATCACTGAGCTAGGCCCATTTTTGGACCTCATTTTTTTTGTCTCATTTGTAGAATGAAGTGAGTGGAAAATTGGGTCCTTAAAGCTTGGATATATTGAGTATGAGTTTAAATATGATGGTATCCTTTAGGCAGTGAGAAATGTAATGCAGTTCTGGAGCTCAAGGAGGAACTCACTACCACATTGTGTACCCAGACCTGAGATACCTCCAGGGACCTCGAGCTCATTGACATCAATCCATGCCTCAGTCTTTGGAGCTAGAGATTGAGGGATGATCTGAAGCAGGGAGAAGTTGGAGAAGGACATTGGGACGTTATATGATCCCATCTCTAGACTTCAGTGTGTATGTATGGGGGGCGGGCATGGATATGACAGGGTGGGCAAGTGGAGGAAATGGGCTATATGAAACCCTTTATTGGCCATCAGGCTGTTACCCAAGATGAAAGAAGAAGAGTGATAGAGTGTGGTTAAGTCCTGAATCCTGATTAGAACAAAAGACTCAAAGAATATCAGTGCTAGAAGGTACCTTAGAGAAAACAACAACAGTGATAATAACAATCAACTTATATTGCTCTTTAAGGTTTGCAAAGCACTTTCCGTATGTTAACACATTTCTTCCTTACAACCACCATATGAGGAAGGTGCTATTATTGTTTCTGTTTCACAGATAAGGAAACAGAAGCACAGAGAATAGAAGTGACTTGCCCAGGGTCACACAGTAAATATTTGAGGTGGGATTTGAATTCAGGTCTTCCTGACTCCAAGTACCCCACTCTTTCCACTGCACCACCTAGCTGCATAGAGATCATCTAATTTCCCTTATTTTAACAGAGAAGGAAATGGAGACCTAGAGAGGGGAAGTTACTTACCCAAGGTCACCATTTCTTTGATTCTGATA